TTACTCCAGTCTTCAGTGTCACATGATCCTTCAGAAATCATTATAGTGTGCTGATTTGGTGCTAAATTTTTTTTAGCATAATCATCAATGTTGAAAACAATGTTTTTGTTGATTTAATATTTTTATGGGATGCCATTTTTGAAACTTCTTGCTCTGTCTTTTGCTGAAATGTTAAAACTAGTATATAGTATTCTGAAAATGCACAATTGTTTATGCTGTTGAATCTTTAACATTTAAAAAAAAAATCTTCCTTTTAAAACTTCTTAGGATCAGTTGCCAACATCCGCAAATGCGATTTACGATGCTGTAGCCAAACTTTGGTCTCCGTGGTTGAACCCAGAAGCTGTAGCTACTTTGCAAAAAGGTAACTGATAATAAGGACGCTGTTCCACTACATGTGTGAACATTTAAATGATTTGATTATTTGGAGATAATGGATGCCGATTAGTCAATACAGAGTTTTAGTCTTGCTAAAATACTTAATGCAAACGACAGTATAATGCAAAATATGCATTATAAATTGTTCATCTAGCTACTGTTTTTTTTTTTCGTTTTTTTTTTTTTCAGAGAAGTATATAAAATTTAAATCTAAACTAAAAAATTTAATTTTTCCCACAAATATTTTTCATTAATTAGCTTTTTTTCTCTCTCTTTGTGACTGTGGTGTGCACACTTAACAGTGGACTTTAGCTGTGACCGTATAGTAAGCTAATGCTCTTCGTATGTCACTTTGCGTAAAGGTGGCTTTTACTCTCTTGTGATCAAACCTGGCCTCCGTCTGGTGAGTCTCAACACAAACCTGTACTACAGTCCTAATCAAGTGACTGTAAATATGACTGACCCTGCTGGGCAGTTCCAGTGGCTGCAGGAAACACTTGAGCTGTCAAGACAAAAGCTGGAAAAGGTGAGTATATTCTGTTTGCTTTTACAAGGTATTTTAATTTTAGAAAGAACCCGCTGCACTGATCACACAGGGCCATTTTATTACAAGACTGTAAATTAACATTTGCATAGTGGTATGCCCATGTAAGTGACAGCAGTGGTGTGTGAGTGACTGCTGACCTTAATTTCACTGTCATCTTTTCCTCTGAGGTCTATGTAATTGCTCACGTCCCCATCGGTTACCTACCCTATGCTATAAATACAACAGCCGTCCGGGAAAGCTACAATGAACGACTGGTCAAAATATTTCGCTACTACAGTGACGTCGTTCAGGGTCAATTCTACGGTCACACTCATCGAGACAGCATAATGGTTCTGCTGGATCAACAAGGTAATAGAATTTGCCTCCGAACTAGGGCAGCAAAACGATTAATCGCAACTAATTGCGACTAATCGCGTTCAAAATAAAAGTTTGTTTACATTATATATGTGTGTTTACTGTGTATATTTATTATGTGTATATATAAATACACACATGTATAATTTATGAAAAATATTTGTATGTATATGTTTATACTTGTATGTGTATATATATTTATTTATTTTTATATACAAATCTAAAATTTTTCCTATACATACATGGATGGATGGGTGTGTATACAATTGGTGGCTGACTAAATACTTTTTTTTCCCCCACTGTATATTAGTATGTAAACTTTTATTTTGAATGCGATTAATCACGATTAATTGTTTTACAGACCTACTCATAACATTTATATTTTTAATAAAATCGAAACACTAGTCAAGTAAAATATAGAGAAAAATAATTATTGACAATTGTTTCATTTATGAACATGGAAGTGGTGAATGCATTACATTGTGGGATGCAGTCTTTGAAAGTACATGCTCTGACAAATGGTATATTGCTCAGATTGTAGTAGGTAAATCAGATAGCCTATACTATGGATACAGAACATTGAACATACTAATTTATGTCTCATTCATACTTTTGTTCAAGGGAAACCTGTGAACTCTATATTTGTCACACCTGCTGTTACACCTATCAAAAGTCTGTTGGAGCCATATTCCAACAATCCTGGCGTCCGTGCGTATTTGTACCACCCTGAGAATTATGGTTTACTGGTAAGTGTCCACCAACTAGCAAGTTTAAAGGGGTCATTGGATGCAAAATTCACTTTTACATGTTTTAACATAAACGTGTGTTGGCAGTGCGTGTACACATCCTATAATGATAAAAATCCACCCAGTGTTTTTGTTTTTTTTAAATCCCCAATAATAATGATCACTTTCTCAGATCAGGCTGTTCTGAGATTCTTGGCAGAGTGACGTAGTTCTGCACAGGCTATTGACTGACATGGCCGTTTTAACGTAGACTCGCCCTTAGTGAGCTGTTAAAAGTCCACCATTGTTTCAGTGCTGGAGCAGATGTAGACAAGAATGTCTCCTAAGCGATTGAGGTGTTTTGTTGTTGGATGTAATAATGAACATAGCAGTCGTCATTTACTCCTGACATCTGAGCTACTGAAGACGCAGTAAATTACTTTTGCTTTTGAAGGGAATGCACCCCCGATCTACTTAAATGCGTTTATGTTTGCACAAATCATTCATGATCAAGCTTCACCTACAGAAGAAGGGAGTATAAGGTTTTTTTTATGAATCTTTGCAAATCGCCTTTCCTAATAATGTGCTAGTTAGCAAGTTCTGTAGCTAAATGCGGCTAAAGTTTAGAGTCCCATGAGAACGGCTCGTCACCCTACGGAAGAGAGGGGCGGGGTAAGCCGAGCTCATTAGCATTTAAAGGGACATGCACTGAAACGGCTAGCTGTGAACGGATCTGTTTTTGACAAGGTAAAAAGCATGTTGTTTTACACTACCATTGAGAAATTTTAACCAAAGTATGTTATAGACTTTTCATTAAGACCTTAAAGAATTATCAACTTTACATTTTTATGGAGTTTTATTTTATTTTTCATGGATTTTATTCTATTATTTTTTTTTTTGTGTGTGTTTTATTACTTTTTTTATTTTGGGAACAATATGGTAATGATCTTGACACAGCCTGGAGAGTATTTCAAATACTAGGTTTTTATTTTGTTTTATTTTGAATTATAGTTAACAGTGTTGGGGGTAACGCATTACAAGTAACGCGAGTTACGTAATCAGATTACTTCAAGTAACTAGTAAAGTACTGCGTTACTTTTAAATTTAGATGGAAATATCTGAGTTACTTTTCCAAATAAGTAACTCCAGTTACTTTGCTTCGCATGTACTGACTGACAGCTCTAGTGTTGCCATGTTGAGAGAAATCGGGAGGTTTTAAGTGCAGAGGCGTGTGTGAACATGATGTTACTGTAGTTCTAGACTAAATATGAACATGTATTTACTCATCTCACTGGCACAAAAACAGATTCTGTATTCCTCAAAATGAATAAAAACAGTCAAATGCAAACTCAGAATATTATACAGACCTGCAGTATTTGTTAAATAAGACAAATATCATTTATGTATTTAATCCCATTTTATTAACCAATGTCTT